AAAAAAAAAAAAAAAAAAAGAGTTCAAAGACTCATTCTGGTTTTGAGTAGCTCCTTCGAGATAACGTACGGTCTAACAGTTCATCAGCTGATAAAGCCTCAAATGTTGGCTTCACAACCTCAACCACAGCTGGTGCTAATGGAGATTTGTACTTGTAGGCATGGGTTCCTTTCGCTCTGTCTCGCTGCCAGCCACACCATGAAGTTTCCCCTTCTGGGCAGTAGTCGTGCTGTGGATTATCATCGGATGAAGTGGAATGATAAAAAATGGCCCATATTGCTGATTTCATCCCTTCTTTGTCATTCTTGTTACTTCTTATGGCTTTCCCATAATACTTCTGGAACAAGTCAATTCTCTTGTCCGTCAAGCGGTCTCTGCCCCCAAGAGATATTCCGTCATCTAGTTTCCTGCCCTTGTATGCATTCTTCAGATCTCTGAGCCGGCGACCCATCCTCTTTTGGACATGGCCGACACAGTCTTCCTTCACAATAGAAACATCATCACCATAAGGTTTCAGTTCCTCAACCCTGACGTTGAAGCTTTCAGACTTATTTTCAGGTGTTTGGTTAAGAGGAGGAACCGAGCAAGAAGTAGCGATTAACTTGGTGCTGATTTGAGCAGAAACATCTCAAGGTAGAAACTCTGTCGGCTTCTTACTAGTAACAACGTGGCAACAACTTTGCATTTCTAGGGGCTGAATAAATAGTCGTTCTTCTGCTGTTTGTTTTGAGCACTTGAGCAAGTTTAGGAATGAATCTACTTCTCCAAAGAGTGGTTTCGAAAGTTGTATTAACGTCAATGCTCATTGTATTTTTATCGCAGCTTTTGACCAGCCGTTTGAAGAAACAACAGGAGAACAAATCAGCAAAGCAATTAAAGAGTTACGAAATCAGAGTCTCTTCCAGGTATTTTGCACATTTGTTGTTCTGTAAATCTTTGGTTTCCAAGAAAAGTGAACACCTTAAGTCTTGTTATCAATCAACATATTGCCCAGCAAACTGGTGACAAAGATAAAGAAGCTTGCTCACTAGGAAATCTTGTCTTGATTTAACACTAAATTCTCAAAACAAACATGGAAAAAATTTTCAGTCAATAAAGAGAATCGATATCTCACGCTTAGGTGAATATCTCGAGTTTTGTGGGATTTTAATTTGAAAGACAGGTATAAAAGAGGAGTAGTAAGGCAGTATTTACCATTAAAATTGCCTTAATGAGAAACTTAAGTTGTAGCACTTGCTCATTAACTGCAGAAATACTCAGCCTGACTTTCAAACAAACATAGCAAACCACCAAGGGAAAGCACCTAATTTCTTACTTGAGTGGTTCTGTTTCATGAGTCTTTCAGACGCAACAACTTTACTGACTTCACCTGACGTTTAATTCGAATTCATCGTCTGTTATGTTATCAAATGCAGTGTAAATTTTTCATTAATTTTCAATCAATCCAACAAACTTGGTTCAGCAACTAACCCTGACCCTTGTCATCTTCATTGTTATTTCTTTGTGTTTTCGTGTTTTTAGAGCAAACTTTTCTATTTATTTCACATTGCATTCGGCGATGAAAAACACTGAGACATCTTTGTTTCTTAAAACTAACTTTCAGATACATGTACATCAGTCAGATAGGAAGTGAATTTGAAGCTTGTGAGTGAAAGAATTTTCAATACTAAATTTGAGTGTGCGTTTGTGAGAGTACAAAAAACGTTATTCTATAATATGTAATCCTTAGTTTGTTTATGAGACATTTACAAAACATCGCAAAAGATGTCACAACTACTTGGAATAACACACAAATTTCAGTAAGTGTTATTTTACTAGCACTAGACACTAAGTCTACTATCAAGGGAAAGCCCCTAATTTTATGCTTGCCTGGCAACATTGTTTCAAAGGCATTTTAATTACACTACTTTTCTTTCAGTTCGTGTTTATATAACCTCACTGGCCTTTGTTGAATATCTATTTGGACCTAAATTCCCCCCCTGCATCAAAAATTTAATCTGTATTTTGACTGAGGTAATTTACTCGTTTTTCATTCTTATCGTAAACTGTGTCCAATCCAACGAACTTGGTTAAGCTAATAAGACTAACGCTTGCCATCTTCATTACTTTTCGTGTTTTTAGAGCAAACTTTTCAGATTGTATTCGGTATTGAAACTCATTAAAAAATCATCATCTACGCTCTGCTGCTTTAATGTGTTGTAAACAATCTCTTATCGCTAAGGCTTTGATATTCATCACTTACCACTGAAACTTTCATCTGCTTATTATTCTAACTCCAACAAAGGTCACGTGACTACACAGAAATTAACTGTCAAAAGTTAACTGAAGTATGAAGAGCGAGTCACTGTAGAGATGAATATTTCTTCGTTAGCAATTTCGATTTCCTTTGATCTGACGTTGAAGCTTTCGGACTTATTTCCAGGTGTTTGGTTAAGAAGAGGAACCGAGCAAGAAGTAGCGATTAACTTGGTGCTGATTTGAGCAGAAACATCTCAAGGTAGAAACTCTGTCGGCTTTTTACTAGTAACAACGTGGCAACAACTTTGCATTTCTAATGGCTAAATAAATAGTCGTTCTTCTGCTGTTTGTTTTGAACACTTGAGCAAGTTTAGGAATGAACCTACTTCTCCAAAGAGTGATTTCGCAAGTTGTATTAACGTCGACGTGCATTGTATTTTTATTGCAAATTTTGACCAGGCATTTGAAGAAACAACAGGAGAACAAATCAGCAAACCAATTAAACAGTTACGACATCAGAGTCTGTTCCAGGTATTTTGCACATTTGTTGTTCTGTAAATCTTTGGTTTCCAAGAAAAGTGAACACCTTATGTCTTGTTATCAATCAACATATTGCCAAGCAAACTGGTGAAAAACATTAAAAAATACTTAGCAACTTGGAAATTTTGTCTTGATTTAACTCTAAATTCTCAGAACTAATGTCGAAAGAAATAGTTTTCAATCGATAAAGAGAATTGATCTCTCACGCTTGGATGAATATGTTGAGTTTTGTGCGATTTGAATTTGAAAGAGCGGTATAAAAGAGTCTAGTAAGACAGTATTAACCATTTGTGTTGCTTTAATGAGAAACTTTAGTTGGAGCACTTGTTTATTAACTGCAAAAAAATCTCAATCTGGCTTTCAAACAAACCCTACAAGTCACCAAGGGAAAGCATCTAATTTTATGTTTGGTTAGGAACGAGTTTTTCAGACGTTTAATTCGAATTCATCGTTTGTTTTCAGTTGTAGTTAAAGTGTTTCTTTAGTTTGGCGTTTAAAATTTTGCAAACTAGTTTTAAATTTTATTGTCTGGAAAGTGGGGAAATTAAAAATCAAATTAGCTTAAGAAATTCTAAACACAGGAACAAGTTTAACCTCAGCATTTACCTTGAGGTACATTTAAGAAGTTTCAAACGTTTTCGGAGATAAATCGAGTTACTTATTACATTTTATTAACGTTTGTTTTGATAAATCACAACTATCCCTGTTTTTATTATTGTGGCAGCTTTTGATCCTTTGGAGAACGAAAAGAAGAGCAAACTAGCTTACATGACAGGCGGTTTAGGGGTGCCTTTTATCGTAGGGAGAGAAGTGCAAACACACAGCGCTCTACTAAGGGTAAAATGCGCCACTTATCTGCTTGCCCTACAGGCTAAGAAAAAACGAGCAAGATCCATGGCATGAGGAAGACAGAAATCAGTCCTTGTTCAAGTAAGTAGCTTCTTGTTTTAATTCCATATTTTCATTTCCAAAAGACTGAGTGATGAAAATTTCATCTCCCTTAACACGAAATTGCCAAGCAGAAAAGTGACAACAGTGATAATTTAATAATAGAAACTGTATCATGGTGGAGAATAACATTCTAACTAGAGGAATTCATTTTTATATGTAGGTAAAGTTTTAAGATTCTTTAGCTTTTAAAATTGTTAGCAGTTACCGCGTAATTAATTTCAGTGACAAAAAGCGTCTCACTGAGTTAATTTATTTTTTGATATACATGTATGTATTTTCAGTGCATTAGGAACTGAACTTCGGAAACGAGATATTGATGAGTAAAGATAACAGAGAAAATTCTTTGTCATAGCTGAACGGAATGGTGAAGAATGCAACTGAATATATGAAAGACCATCTACGGGTATATAACGAACTCACAAAATGGTCAGCTCACAGTCGGCTTGATAGCTCAGTTGGTAGAGCACTGCACCGGTATCGCAGAGGTCATGGGTTCGAATCCCGTTCAGGCCTGAATTTTTTTCAGGCTTTAATTTCACAACTGCCTAAGTTGTGTAAAAAACTGCGATGATCAATCATGTCTTCATATCTTTCTCCACAGTTCAAATATATGATTTTTCATATATTTACTTGCATGAGGGATAATCTGTTTAGAAATACTTTTGAGAACCATTACAGTACGACGACTTAAACCGTGCCACGAGAAGAAAGTTAACCAATCAAATGTAAACTAAGAACAATGGACTGGGAGCTTTCTCGCGTCGGCAAGTAACGGTCTATTTGACTTGAAGACATAAATACTATCGACTCCTCTGCATTATATAACCTCTTAGAGATTCAGCGCTTGACGACGAATTATCATAGCTATAAATCTCGTTCGAAAACTTAAGCTTCAAAACTCATTTTGCAACAACTAAACCGAAACTGCGTTGATAAGTGTGCAAAACTTAGGATCGAAACTAACCAACAACAAATGGCAAAGTTTCCTGAGAGGTTCGCAACACTTCGCACTTTGTGGGTTTTCGATTTTGTTAAGTTGTTCGCATTCTTCAATGTTATTGGTTTATATGAGAAAAAGATCGCTATCCTTTGTACTCAAGTAACATTCTGATTGGTTAACTCTTTTTCCAGTGGCCCGGCCCGAGCAGTCGCACTGTAATGTAGAATAATACGCGAACTTAAATACCAAATTATATAACAATGAACAAGCCTAACATAAATCTTCCGCAGGCCCTACTACTTATTCAATAGATTCCCCATTGGCTGAACAGAAAAATGTCAGAGGTAATGGACTCCGAAACTAGTTGATTTCGTGAAATAATTCAGTGCTGGGCCTCTTTGTATAATGGGACGCAAACGCAGTCTATAGTGTGAAACAGGGACGAACTATCAGGCGCACTAAACCCTCAGTTTAGCATTTAGATGTACCAAAGCAGATACAGTCTGCCTTTACGAATCATTCGTCATTTGTCATCTTTATACTAAGATGCATATCTTTAAAACAGATTATTCCACAATGGAGTATACTTCTGAAAAACTGAACTATTTTCGAATTTGTTACATCGCCTTTAACTTGGTTCCCGAAGGACTACGACGAGTCCTCAAGCAAGAATGGGATTTCCTTTACAAAACAACGCTTGGAGAATGGAAAGACACGCCAAAGAATGGCTTAGACTTTTATTCTAACGAGTCTCGAGGAAGCCGCTCGAAGAATCGGCGATATCTGGCGACAATACAGAATGGTAACACTGTTGAGTGGGACTGTAGCTGTTTGTTTTTCGCGATTCTGTTCTCAGATAGCATTGGCACAACTCTGAGTGCAGCCATCAGGAAAGAAGTCGATGATCTTCGTCAAGTCCGAAATGATATTGCTCATATCAGTGAGGCCGAGCTGACAGATGCTGAGTTCAAGAACTATGCTGGAAGAGTGTTGGTGGCGTTTAACTCTTTGAGTCTTCCGGTCAATGACATAGAGGAAGTTAAAAATCAGACGACCTTTCCCACGGCAGAAGTAAACAACTTAATGGCACAGGTTTCCAATCTCCAAACAGAATTGCAAAACGTCAGATCTGATTTACAAGTTGCACAAGACACGATACAGAGAAAGGAAGAGCAGGTTGAATGTCTCAGCCAAGAAATTAATTCCAAAGTCGAGTCTTTCTGTAATCTCAGTTTCAAGCCATCTCACGAAATTATCAAACGATTAAATGACATCACAAGGATTATGACAA